CCAACAGGATGGGGGCTGATCTGCTAGGCTGAGGGTGGAGGGGATTGATTCTTATCTCAGCTATTACCAGATTCATGGTTTTATTCTTTCCTTATCAAGATATCTCTATATGTATGTATGTATGTATCTAAATCTGTAAACATTACGTTTGTGGTGTTCTTGCAGCTCTATAGACCTGGGCCAGATTAGAATCTGGGCCTGATATTCAGCAGTCTGCCTTATGACTAGAAAAGATAAGGGTTTCCTTAACCCAGTGGGTTAGGGTGGATAACAAGTCAGGCTCCCCAATCAGATACACAAAACTACATTAGAGATCCAGGTTAGGGCAATCTTAGAGTTGCCTTAACAACTGCTCAGGCTGAAAGGGATCTGAGTCCACAGTGAGTTGGAAGCCAAATTGATCCACTTTCACATCTCAAATGCAATTCAATGATTCATTCAAAGAGGAGAAAAGATGCATGCTTGAGGGATTCCTCCCTCACTTCAATACGCCCCAAGATAAATGACATCTCAAGAGGTATCAGTCTTTACCACAAACCTAACAGACGCTCAGAAACTCACAAATATGAGAAAACTTGGGCTCTGGGTTTCAAGTACAGGCAGTCAGTGCACATGTTTAATCAATATTTCTCACTATAATGATGTAGTACATCCTAGTCATCTTAGAAATTTCATTTTCATCTGGGTCACAGAAGTAACATCTCCTTTCTATGGCACCTGAAATCTACCCTCAGAGGAGAGCTTTAGCCACAGATCACTTGCTCTCCTGACTCAAAACACTATGAATGACTCAATGAGGTAATAAAGAAAATATTTGAACCAGGAGACAGCTCCACTGAGAGACCTAAAGATGGGTATTATATTGGAATAAGAGACACAATATTACTGATATGGTTTTCTGTGTCCTCACCCAAATCTCATTTTTAATTCTCATGTGTTGTGGGAGGGACCCAGTGGGAGATAATTGAATCATGGAGGGAAGTCTTCCCAATGCTGTTCTCATGATAGTGAATAAATCTAATGAGATCTGATCTTTTTATAAACAGGAGCTCCCCTGCAGGAGTTCTCTCATTGCCCGCTGCTATCTATGCAGGAAAAAGTGGTTTCCTGGGACAGGCCCAGGGTCCTCGTGCTGTGTGCAGTGCTGGTGCCCTGTGTCCCAGCCACTCCTCCTTACTCCTCCTTGCCTTCTGCCATGATTATGAGGTTCCCCACAGCCATGTGGAACTGTAAGTCCATTAAACCTCTTTCTTTTGTAAATTGCCCAGTCTCTGGTACGTCTTTATTAGCTGTGTGAAAACAGACTACTACAGTAAATTGGTAACAGTGGAGTGGGCGCTGCTGCCGATACCTGAAAATGTGGATGCAACTTTGGAACTGGATAACAGGCAGATGTTGGAACAGTTTGGAGGGCTCAGAAGAAGAGAGGAAAATGTGGGGAAGTTTGAAACTCCCTAGACTTGTTGAATGGTTTTGACTAAAATGCTGATAATAATATGAACAATGAAATCCAGGCTGTGGTCTCAAATAGAGATGAGGAACTTGTTCAGAATTGGAGCAAAGGTTACTCTTGCTATGATTTAGCAAAGAGACTGGTGGCATTTTGCCCCTGCCCTAGAGATTTGTGGAACCTTGAACTTGAGAGGGATGATTTAGGGTGTCTGGCAGAAGAAATTTCTAACCAGCAAAGCATTCAAGATGTGACTTGGGTGCTGTTGAAGGCATTCCATTTACAAGGAAAGCAGAGCATAAAAGTTCAGAAAATTTGCCGCCAGACAATGCAATAAAAAAGAAAATTCCGTTTTCTGAGGAGAAATTCAAGCCAGCTACAGAAATTTGCATAAGTAATGAGGAGCAGAATGTTAATCCCCAAGACAATGGGGAAAATGTCTCCAGGACAAGTCAGAGGTCTTTACAGCAGCCACTCCTATCACAGGCCCAGAGGCTTAGGAGGCAAAAGTGGTTTCCTGGGCCAGGCCCAGGGTCCCCACGCTTTGTGCAGTGCTGGCGCCCTTCATCCCAGCCACTCCAGCTGTTGCTGAAAGGGGCCAACATAGCGCTCACACCATGGCTTCAGAGGATGCAAACCTCAAGCCTTGGCAGCTTCCATGTGGTGTTGAGACTGCCAGTACACAGAAGTCAAGAATTAGGGTTTTGGAACCATCCCCTAGATTTCATAGGGTGTATGGAAATGCCTGGATGCCTAGGTAGAAGTTTGCTGCAGGGGTGGGGCTCTCATGGAGAACATTTGCTAGGGCAGTGCAGAAGGGAAATGTGGGGTCAGAGCCCCAACACAGAGTCCCTATTGGGGCACCACCTAGTGGAGCCATGAGAAGAGGGCCACTGTCCTCCAGACCCCAGAATGGTAGATCCACTAATAGTTTGCACCGTCCACCTGGAAAAGCTTCAGACACTCAACCCCAGCCCATAAAAGCAACCAGGACTGTTGTTATGTGCTCCAAAGCCACAGGGGTAGAGCTGCCCAAGACCATGGGAACAAACCTCTTACATCAGCGTGACCTGGATATGAGGCATGGAGTCAGAAGAGATCATTTTGGAGTTTTAAGGTTTGACTGCCCTGCTGGATTTCAGACTTGCATGGGGCCTACCACCCTTTTTTGGGGGTCAAATTCTCCCATTTGGAATAGTTGTATTTACTCAATGCCTATACCCTATTGTATCTAGGGAGTAACTAACTTGCTTTTGATTTCATAAGCTTGTCGCGGAAGGAACTTGCCTTGTCTCAGATGAAACATTGGACTGTGGACTTTTGAGTTAATGATGAAATGAGTTAAGACTTTGGAGGACTGTTGGGAAGGCATAATTGATTTTGAAATGTAAGGGCCTGAGATTTGGGAGGGGCCAGGGGTGAAATGATATGGATTGGCTGTGTCCCAACCCAAATCTCATCTTGAATTCCCATGTGTTGTGGGAGGGACCCAGTGGGAGATAATTCAATCAATCATTGGGGGATGTGTTTCCCGTGCTGTTCTCATGATACTAAGTCTCACGAAGTCTGATCATTTTCTAAAAAGGAACTCCCCTACACGAGTTCTCTCTCTCTGCCTGCTATCATCCATGTAATATGTGACTTGCTCCTCCTTCCCTTCTGCCATAATTGTGAGGCCCCACCCAGCGATGTGGAACTTTAAGTCCATTAAACCTCTTTCTTTTGTAAATTGCCCAGTCTCTGGTATATCTTTATCAGCAGTGTGAAAATGGACTAATACAATTATAGAACAAATAAAGTATGTTTTATCGAGGGTATAAAATCCACATATAGTGTGATGATGGTTTGTTATAAATTACATCTTACGGCAATGAGGAAGGTATGTGGATTGACAGAGGCTGTATGTCCAAGAATTCTTTTTTTTTTTTTTTTTTTTTAGCCAGGGTCCAGAGAAGGTTTTGTGGGACATGCAGCTTATAAAATGTGGTAGGCTCTCTATTAAAGTAATACAAAATCATCATTAAAGGGAATAATTATTTAGAAGATAACTTATAGCAAGTGTTAAAACGATGGTAATTACAACAATAAAAATTCCAAACAAATCATACATATGTAGACATTTTGTGTGTGTGTGTGTGTGTGTGTGTGTGTAATAATTCTGGAGAAACACCACTTATGTAGCTGCACAATTTCAAGTAGAATGAAGTAAAAATTTAAGGTGAGTAATATAATGCTTTTATTGAAAATCAAAACACCAAACTCCTGCAAACTTTACATAAACAGATAGCCATGTGAATGTATAACAAACCCAAGAGTGACTATTGTCTAGCAGGTAAAAATGCAGACAGCTTCACATTAAGCTCTTAGAATTTCCTTTCACAGCAAGTTTCTAAAATAAACTAACTTTTCTAACATTTATTCTCACAAAAATATATTTCAAGTTAGAATAAACAACAACTGGCTTCAGACTTTTAATTGTGTATATTTAACCATACTAAGAAAATTATCATATTTAGCCAAATGGAGGCTTTTTCTGTGATCTATTTCCAAATTCTCAGATTCTGGTCCATCTATTCCTTGAAGCAGTTTGGAATGACTTGTCAGTTGGCATTTATATTGAAACTAATCTACAAATAAACCATTTTGATAAAGCTTGCTTGGTTTGAGACGACTATGTATTTGGAGATAAAAGACTCAGAACAAACTGCCTGCTTTTTCTACAGTTTATATCGAATGAGATGGGCACTTAAGCAGTCAGCCTGGTTTCATAGGTCTAGAGTGGCCAGGCTGTAAATACAATAAGTCTAGCTGCCTTCCATATGTGGTCAGACAGCTATATTAAGAAGATCCACTCACTGTTAGTTATGAAGATAGCCAGGAGCCTGATTTAAGGAACTATTCAGCCATTGAAGGACAGACACTCCCAAAAATGAAATTTCAGGGAAGTGTAGATTGAACAATCTTGTTCAAGGCTGCCAAAATTATTTTCTGCATGTCAAGATGTTATTCACACACATAAAGACTACATGCAGATAATCTTCATTTTTGAATTTCAAGTTGTTTTAATGCAAAAGCAAGTATAATTATAATATATAGCAAAGCAAATCTATCTTTGGTTCTATATATCAGATAACTTTTTGCAAAAATAAATAGACATGGCAAGAAAAATAATTCAACTATCTTAAGGGAAAACCCAATATTTTATACAAAATAAGCAAAGAATATAGAAATGATGTTTCTTTTAGACTTTTTCTAATTATCTTGCTTAATATCTAACACTAGTGCAATTTTAACATTAAAATATTTGTGCACAATATATTTAACAATACAGCATGGACTCAAAACTGTCATAAAACAAAATAGTACTTTCCCTTCAAAATCATTTAGGAATTATGCTTTCTAAAAATGTACGAGAAAGTAGAACTGCTGAAACGCGTTGACAAAATTAACTTTGAAGAAGCGCAAGAAAAGGAAATAAAGATGTAGTTATAATCACAGATTCTAGAAATCTCAAAAAAAAAGTGAACACATTATCCATTCTCCCATTTGCAGACTTTTTTTTAAAACTAGTATCTATGAGAGCTTCCTGTCATGGTTTCAACTTTCAGCACATTTAATGAGCTTGATTTGCTGGTGGTTTTCGTCTCTTTCCATATATGATTTTTGCATCAAATAATTCTCTTTCCCTGTAGCCTAGACATGGTCCTTTTAGATACTTTGCTTCTGCTGCCTTGTAATCTAACCCATCAACAACAGAAATTGAACAAATAATTGCTTCTGGCAGAAGAACTTCTAGAATAAATTTAATTTTATCATCTTTTATCCAAGTTGGCATTCTTTGCTCTATCTGACTGTAGACTTCTTGTAAATATTTCACCACCGCATCCAACTGATCTTCATCCTCAAAGTATGTTTCAATACAGGGTGTGAACCTGCTTGCATTCAAAAATGATTTCAGCCATCTGGATCCTTTTGTGCCATTTACAATGGCCAGAAGATGGTCCTCTGTTCCCTTTTCATTCACAATGAAGTCCACTAGGTTCTTATTGGCTCGGACCCGAGCAGACTTCATCCGGTCAGGGAGAATTTTCTGGAAGGACATTTTCTTGGTCTGGGAAGTCACAGCCAACCGTTCCCTGGCATCTTCATTATGCAGTTTAGGAAATTTGTTCCTGAAAGTATCCTGTTTGATTTCTTTCCTAACTGGGTAACTAATATCAGCAGCAAAATACTCAAGCAAAGAGCCTGTGAAAGAACCACAACCTATTCTAACTCTGTAGTCACAAATCAGTGAGATGCACCAGTCAATACTTTCACTATAATCCTTCCTGGCTTTGTCCACTAGTGCTTGTTTCTCTTTACAATCAAATTTCTTCAATCTTCTAAAATTTACTCTAATGCCTTTCTTTTCAGAATTCATGTTTGCCTCAACAAAAAGCACACTTGCTTTCCTCTCTTTTCGTCTGATACTTTTTATCACTGCTGGCCAAAATGGATATTTCTGATATTTAAACCAGACTATCATTCCTGTTTCAAATGGACGTGTCTCATAATGTAAAATGAAGCGTGGAAGTTCTTCTTCTTCCTCATCATCATCTAATAGAGAAAGATTAATGCGACTTGAGGCTTGACCTTCTTCCTCAAGTTCTTCAAAATCCAGTCTCTGAAAATTTCTTTCACTATTCCTAAGAAGTGAATAATCCAAGACAAGGTTAGAGGCATTAAGTGAAACCTGGCATTCCCATGAACAACTCTCGGGGCATGCTGCAGCCTCCATCTCTGATTCCACAGAAGGTTGATTCTGGCTGGTACCTAAGCATGGATTTGAGGGACCCTCTCCAGGATCCTCAATATTTTCTGAGAAGGTAGAGCACTCAGAGGGAACAGCCAGGGTCTCTCGGCAGGTATCCTGGCTCTCTTCTTTCAAAGCTTTGGGCACAGTAAGGATATCTGATGGCAAAAGTGGTACACACTTTTCATCTTTAACACACTCACTTTCCCCTTTGACTACAGAATGCACAGACATAACTGCTGAAATATCAATCTTATCCTTGTCCTCTTTTTCATCATTATCTTCTGAAAGTGAAGAGAAAGTCTCACAGCAGCTAGAGTTTTCTAATGACTTTGTTTCCATTTCACTTGGAATAGTACTGACCATTGTGTGCTCTTGCGATTTAACATCATACAGGGAATCATCACTTTCTGAAGATGCCAACAAGCATGCTGAGTTTTCACTTTCCTCAAGACACTCTTGTAAGTTGCCTTCATCCTTCCGATATTTTTTATGAGGGGGTGAATCGGACACTTTTTGTGATACATTTTGAGACAGCATAGTGGTCTCCTCTTCATCTGAAGTGCTTGCTTGACTCAAATTTGTTCCCTCATTTAGAATATCCAGAGCCACTTTTAGTGATCTTCCATAGGCAGTTTCCTCTGTAGGTGGAGCACTGGCCTCTGACTGTAGTGCTAATGAGGTGGCAATGGCTTCAATTTGAGATTTATTTAGGATCTTTGTTTCCATGCTGTCTACATTAATTTTTTCATTTAGTGAGAGTATTTGAACTTCTAGAGAAAGTGTCTTTTTTCTCTTACTGTTTGATGAAGTTTCAGAACTGGACAAAACTTTTGCTGGCCATAACTGGTCTTTCCACTTGCACAGGACATATTCAGACTCCATTATGATTTATTTTGTGTGCCAAGGGTTATTACCAAAGGTTGAGGTGGCTGTCTGTCTTTGTCACTGCTAACGCAAGTCCTACCCAAAACAATACTCTTAACAAAGTCTCTTTTGTCTTATGACTAGAAAAGGTTTACTGCTGACCTTTTCTCCACCTCAATTTTCCAAGGATGCTTGAACACGTTGTTTGAATAGGACGATACTGGAAGATACTGAAATAGGGAAAAGGAAAAGAAGAAAAGTGTAAACAAATACAATTATCTTGCCAAAACAGGAGGTGAGCAATTACAAATGGAGAAGAAATAAAAGAAAGAATATTGCTCAGTGGGGCATGAGACAGAAGAGGAAAATTCAGCATAATATAAGGTTGGGGGGATAAAAACTGGAAAAGTTGTTTTATAATACATCAAATTCAAGAACTTTCCCTCATTATTGAACATGCTTACTAAGGAGTGAATGTACGCACATGGCAGCAGAGATGAGAGAGTTTGTGATGGGATGTCAGAAACTCTATTATGTAATTACATACTTTGGTACTTTTGTGTCCCTAATGTGATACCTATAGCAATGGGCCTCCAAACTTAACCCGTGTCAGAATCATCCAGAGGACTTACATTTCTAGGCCTCATAGTAAGAGTTTTATTCAGAAGGTTTGACGTGAGCTCCAAAGTTTGTATTTCTAAAACATTCTCAAGTGCATCTAAGGATACATGTTTATGAAGAACACTTTGAGGAGCAGTGTTCTAGTTGAAAACACACCTTTATAATTTTTAAGCTGCAAGTGCTCCACTGTTCACCTGAAGCAGGCAAACAAAGACAACAGGGTCTATATCTCCTAGACCCAGACAAAAATACAATGACCCTTCTAAAACCATAAGCTTAGAAGGCAGAGATTCAGAATGGCTGCTATGACAACTTCTTGGATAGGATAGTTAAAAAGGATTAACAGTTGCCATTGGCCTGAACCTCAGGGAGACACCTGAATAGCCTCTTTGGTGATTTTTTCATAATGGCTTAAAAAGTAAGATTCTTTCCGAAAACTAGAAGTTATGACTTTTAATTATAAAGTGTCATGGCTGCACAACAGGGAGCAAAATAAATTGTACCCCAAATTCTCAACTTAACATGATTCTAACATGAAATATGGCTTTTAATTTAAAATCCTATGATGGTTGTAGAGGAGGGGCCAAAATACATTATTGTCCAAGTTCTCAACATGTTTTTACTGTGAAATGATTTGTGAAATAGGAAGTCTTACCCACTGTCACGTGGATCCTGATGGGTCTGGTCCTGTGGTCCAGCTGTCTTGATTCTCACTCCAACTGCTTGTCCAGCAGGTCCTTTATCCAGCTAGGCACTTCTGGGTTGCACTGTTTTTCTGGGGCTCAGCTGGCATCACATGCAGATTGCCCAGGTCATGTGCATCTCAGATATTAACCCAGGCTGTCCAAAAGGAAGGCAGAGAATAAAACCAATGAAATGGGAAAGGTGTAAAGAATTTTCTCTACCTAAACTCTAACAGGTATGTCATTCTAAAACAGTAATGAGGCAAAAATCTCATTCCTGATGTAGATGCCATGTTTCTTTTCCTTCTTCTTTTTATAATTTGAAATGCTATCGGGGATAAATTTATGCTTTTTAGTTTATGTTGAAATCATCTCTCAGGAAAGCATGGTGGAGTGGAGATAGACAAAAAAGAAGTAACTATTGTCTTATGTCTACTGTGAGTCAGACTGTAGATTTTGTTTGAATGCTCACATCAGTTACCATGTGGAATTCTTCTTCTTTATAGATAAAATCTTTTTCAATGGAGTTGCAATTACATGCTGTCTCATAGTTTACTAATACAAAATAGTTTCGTTGCTTTGTTTGTCTACTCCATAACAATGGTTAGCTGGAGAAAATTTAGAAAATCTGTCAGGTGCCCTCTTATGATGACAACCAGAACTGCTTATGAGTTGAAGGCGACTTCACTCACTATTAGATCTTCTTTCCATCCTTATGGGATAAGGATGGAAACTACATCCAGCCAGCCAGGAGCCTTCTCAGGCATCTAGAATTTTCTATGTTAAATTTAAAGGTTTTGTTGTGTGGAATTCTAACCAGATCATAATGTCTTCAACTACAGTGTTTCTGATTATGAAAACATCCAGAAGCTTATTAAAAATTGTGAAGATGCAGAAAGATATATGCAAAAGAAAGTACAACTCTAGACAAATAATCACTATGAATATTTTCTATATATATATCCCACATTTTTTACATATAAAGATGAATGTATCACATTTGAAACCAGCTTCAGATCCCACTCAAGAGCATAGCTTGAACATCATTCACATATTTTCCACGATTTGCTATAAATTACTTTAAATGAAGTTTTCTCCCAAATTTGTTGCATTTTATCTCAATATTTCCCTGAAGATGTAACAAAATCCAAATATATATTAATAATTTCCAAAAGGAGAAAATGGTAAAGCCATCCCTGTGTCTACAACTATGCAAGTAATCCTGTTAACACTTTCACAGTTACGTTTTTTCTGATTTGGTTGTAGTAACATACATAGGTATACTAACATACATATTTATTCTTAAGTGAGAACATATAGTATGTGCTATTCTATAATTTTTTTCACCTTATACTGTTTTTCAGACATTTGCCAAATGCATGGTATTTCATTGTATAGATGTACCATGCCATGTAATATTTTCAAAACTGTGTATAGAAATAAACCAAATCTTCTGTTTCTCACTCTTAAACTTAAATGATACAGAAAATGGTTCTTCCTGCCCACACTGGTATCTGTGATGTGAAAGAATAAACTGCAGGGAGGACACATGCAGGCATGTAGTTGAGACAACAACTATGCTACCCACTTGATCAGGTCCAGGAAAATTTCTATTATTGGCAAAAGACAAGGGGGATATGGGAATGTGTCTGTGTGTATCTATGTGTGTTTACATGTTTGAAACAAAATGCATATGCCGTTTCAGCTTCATTTTTCTTTCATGATTATAAAAATAGTCACTGAGAAATCTACTCTGAAGATGCTGAAATAGGTAAAAAATAATATTAAAATGGTGACCTGATCATACAGAAATGCTGTTAACTTGATATATTATTTTCTTCCAGATTTTAAAAACCACATATATACATGCATATATTATGTGAAAGTAACTTCACTCAACTACATATTTGATCCCTTTTCCATGCTTATGTACATGTGACACATATAGTCTTTTAATGTATCAATCAACTTATAGATGTATTCCCCCCATGCTGAAAAATACTTCTAAGTTATTTTTCTGTGCAAATTAATAAATGTCTAAACATCCAAACTATAACAGACTGTCTAGCAATATAAACAGGGAATGCCAAGTCAATAAATTAGCATGAACGGCCATGCTGCACTGAAGCCTTAATTTAGAGGCAGTAATCTGATCACCTCTTCTCCCACTGTGGACTTGTAAAGCATTGGAAGATACAAAAATTCCAGAGGATTAACTCCTTCAAAATGCCAGCAATTCTCAAAACCACACACCTTTCCCACCACTCTAAGACTGCCAGCTCTATTTTTCTAAACTTTAGGATCCCGAAAAGTCACTAGAAAATAACTAGCTTTAAGGTAGCCATTACCTTGAAGCTTCTTGTCAGCTGCAGCCTGGTAAAATGCAGCTCCTCCACTCTAAGACTGGCCAGGCATAGCTCCCTTCCTAGTGGCCCAGAGGAGGGTCCGCCCCCGGGGTGTATGAAGACCTGAAAGTCCCTGCCTGGATCAGAGGAGGAAGAATTGCCAAGAGAAACCGCTGAAGTGCTGAACTGCAGGAATGTTCCCTTTTAAAAAAACTTTTAAGTGAAATGCCAACAAGTGTGCTTAGTTTCTATTCAAATCCTTAGGGTGTGTGATTTCTTGAAGAAAAGAGGTAGTGAATCACTTTATCATATAATAAAAACCCAGTTACTAATATTCCTTACGTTATTTTTTTTCTTGCCATCTCTGGCATCTTACCCCTGTAGGTGAATTTTTAAACCCAGCTGGTCAAACTCCATTAAAATAGACCACTAAGGATATCAATTTGGATTACACAAAAACTGTACATTATTTGAGGGAGACTTTAATTCTTTATAATTCTTTTTTTTTTTTTTTTCTGTTTTCAGGACATGGTATGTCTCTACTTGTATTCATTCTTCTCTTAAAACTTTCAGGAAAGTTGCAGAGATGTCTTCACATACATGATTATTTCTGGCTAGATGTTGAAATCATTGGCTTAACAGGAAAGCACCCATTTCATATGCCCTCATCATTAATTGACAATTCTGTTTCTTGTGTTTTGTTGTTTTTACTTGCGTGATTCAATGAGGGGAATTAATTTCTTAAAATTTATGTCTTTATTTACATGTCTGAAATAGATTTTGCATATTCTGTTCATCAAAATTCTATGTTAAATTTAAATATAGCTTTCTGATTTAACTCAGAAAGTAAATTTTAATTATCACTAGTGATAACTGGGGAATAAAGTATTTTTTTAGCATCTGTATCATATAATATTACTCATATATAATAATTACAATTTTAACATTCGCCTTTATATAAGCATTAATATTAAAATAAAATACCAATAAATCACTGAGAGCCATCTTTAAGCTGGTGTATTACTGGGGACTCTAATAATTAGAGTATATAATGCTTTGTGCTATAAACAACCCCTAAATCTCAGAGATTCAATATCCTAAAAGTTTATTTTGCTGATGTCAAGGTTCAATATAAGGCATCAGTGGCCAAAAAGGGGCACGGTTCTCTGTTTTAAACAGTCATTAAGAGACCCAACCTTCTTCTATCCTGTGGCTCTACCATGTCCTTGGGTCTTGCATTCCTTCATTAAATTCTTTGCATCTAGCTAACAGCCTAAACAAGAGGGAAGATAGAGAGTCATACGGAAGGTTTTAGCAGTCATGTCTGGCAAACATCACTTCCAGTTAACAGTCCACTAGCCAGAACTTAGGCATGGAGCCCCAACAGCCATACTGGCTGGGGAATGTAATCTCCCTGTGACCCCAGGAGAAAAATGAGACAGAGGTTGACAAACATGTAGCGTTCTCTCTGCCACAAGAAATTTTGCCTT